CCCCATCCAATCAGAGCACAGCCAAGCTCCTTAACCAATCAGAACACACCTCCACCCAATCAGAACACAGCCAAGCTCCCACCCAATCAGCTCAAACCCCACTGGCAGTTAAAAGGAAGAAACAGCTGCGATCACACACACTACTCCCAGAAGCAGGAAGCTGAAGACACCAGCCTGAAGATGACGAATGTGACTTCGTGGAAACGTCGCCAGGACACTTCCAATTTTACGCGGGAGAGAACCCGAATGACCAAAGACCTACATACAAACACCCGCAAAAACCTCAGAAAACATGTATATATATATATATATATATATATCGGGAGAGAACCCGAATGACCAAAGACCTACACACACACACACACACATATATATAAATTTTATTAATTTTAAAAATAACCCCCCCATACAAATACAAATATAAGCATACATTAACATAACTTCAGTAACAGCTCGGCAGCCCCCCCCCTCCCCGCGTCCACCCTCTTTTCTCCTTCAACCTCCCTACACATCCCACCTCCTTCCCTCTCCTCCTTCGGACACGGTTTAGGGGCACTAGCCGAGCATCAGCTCGGCAGCACCCCCTTCCCGCATCCACCCTCTTTCTTACTACCTACCTACTTCCCTCCTATCTCTCCTCTCTCCTTCTCCCACCCTTCGGACACGGTTTGGAGGTGCTAGCCGAGCACTCAAAATTCTCTTATTTTTCCATACATCAATACTCCTAGTTTAATACACATTTCTACTTCTCACCATACATCAAAACTCCTAATTATTTTATTTCTATTTCTACCCTCCCTCCCAGCCCCACCCCCAATCCCCCCCCCAGACTTCCCAGAACTGAGTTTCACGTTAGACGTGAATGTCGTCTGGGTGACTTTGGACCAATCATCATGTCCCTGTTGGGCATCCTTTGTTTCTGTTGCTCATTCCTTCAAGGCAGGAAGCCATCGTAGCTTCTGCTTCTCTTCCGGTTTTAGTTTTTTTTTGGGGGGGGGTGTCTTTTGGTAGAAAGACCCGATTAACCTCCTGTTTTCTCTCCCTGCCCTTCAGCCATGCGCTTCAGGCTCCTCAAACACACCAAGTTGAACGTCGTGGCTTTCCTCAGCGAGTTGCCCAAGACTCAGCACGACGTGAACTCCTTCGTGGTGGACGTCTGCGCGCAAACGGTGAGTCGTAAAGGAGAAGAGACCGGCTGGGTCCGATTTACAACCGGCTCCGTTACGGTTGTCACTGCGAAAAACACGCATCGGTGAACTTTCTCAGGGGGGGTTACAACTTTGAGCAGTCGCTAAACAAAACGCTGGTAAGTCAAGGACAGAGGGAGGAGTGCGCCCCTCCGTTTTTAACGCGGCTTGCTTTTCTCGTTGCAGAATTCGCTGTTGTGTTTTACCCTGAGTGGAATCTTTAAGGAAGGTGTGTGTGTGTGTGTGTGTGGTCGAAAGGCCACGTCCTACAGCACGGGGGTGGGTCGGGCCTCAGCAGGCAGGGCTCCTTCCTGACCCCCCCCCTCCGTTTCTTGTACTTCTCCAGTGGATTCCCGGTGTCGGGATATGGTCCGCGCCTTCACCCGGGTCTTCATTGCTGTTCCGGTGGGCCACAGCGGGTAAGCGCAGCGGCTTCAGGCAGGATAATCGGGGGGGCCAGCCTGGACTTGAGAGTGCTGGCCGGCAGGGATTGAAGGGGACCCCGGTTCGAATCCAGCCTTAGACCCTTGGAGTCAGTCCCTGTCTTTCTCTCTCAGCCCCTCCCCCCCGTTGAAAGAATTGCGTTGCCTCCTGAAGTCAAAATATCTTCAAAAGGCGTTTTTGTTGATAAGCCCAGCACTCTCCAGTATAGCACTGATGATGTTACCTAGTTGGGTCATGAAATGTCTGCAAGGAAACCTCCAAGCTCAGAGAGCACCCAGGACCCCACAGTCCTCCTCCTTCCTTCCTTCCTTCTAGCACTGATGATGTTACCTAGCTGGGTCATGAAACATCTGCAAGAAAGCAACCACCAGCTCAGGGAGCACCAAGGACCCCAGATTATTCTTCTTCTTCTTCTTCTTCTTCTTCTTCTCCTCCTCCTCCTCCTCCTCCTCCTCCTCCTCCTCCTCCCTTCTAGCACTGATGATGTTCCCTAGTTGGGTCATGAAATGTCTGCAAGGAAACCTCCAAGCTCAGAGAGCACCCAGGACCCCATAGTCCTCCTCCTCCTCTCCAGCACCACACACTCCTAGCCCTGATGATGTTACCTAGTTGGGTCGTGAAGCGTCTGCAAGAAAACCAGCTCTTCCTCCTCCCTTTCCACCAGGTTGAGCATCGTGAACGACCAGTTCTTCATCCGGAAAGCCAACAACATGGAAATCCGCAAAGCCTTCGTCATGCCGGCCCCCACCCCTTCCTCCAGCCCCGTGCCCACCCCCTCGACCGAGCCCATGCCCTCTTCCAGCCCCGGGCCCACCCTGACGGCCGAACAGCAGGAAATGCTCCAGAATTTCTCCCTGCAGTCGGGCATGAACCTGGAGTGGTCTCAAAAGTGAGTGCCGGGGGGGGGAGGGAGCTGGGGCAGGAAGGGGTAGCGGGTAGAGGTATAGAGGGGGTCTGACTGACACCGGTGGTCTCTCCTGTGGCTTAAGGACCTCTCTCTCTCCCTCTCTCCCTCCCTCCCTTTCTTTCTCTCTCCCTTCTCCCTCTTTCTCTTTTTTTCTGTCCCTCTCCTTTTCTCTCCTTCCCTTTCTCCCTCCTTCTCTTCCTTTTTTTCTGTCCCTTTCTCCCTTTCTCTCTCCTCCCCTCCTCTTTTCTCTCCCTCTCTTCCTCCTCTCCCCCTCCCTTTCTCTCCCTCTTTCTCTCTCTCCCTCCTTTTTTTTTCTGTCCCCCTCTTTCGCTCTCCCTCCCTTTCTCTCCCTCCCTCTTTTGCTTTCTCTCCTTCTCTCTCCTCCTTTTTCTCTCCCTCTCCCTCCCTCCTTCTTTCTCACTCCTCTCTCTTTCCCTCCCTCCCTCTTTCTCTCTCTTTCTCTCCCTCTCTCCCCAGGTGCCTCTTGGATAACGATTGGAACTACGCAAAAGCGGCCCACGCCTTCACCCAGCTGAAGGTGAGCCTCCCATCTGCCTTGGGGGACACAAACCGACTCCTCTCTGCGCTCCGTGCGAGCGGCGCTGCCTGGGAACTCTGGGCACTGTACAGGGAATCCTCAACTTACACCAGTTCACTTAGTGGCCAAAGTTACAATGGCTCCCAAAAAACAAGGGGCTTACAGCCGTTTTTCACATTTTACGGCCGTCGCGGCGTCCTCACGGTCACGTGATCAAAACCCGGGCGCTTGGCGTCCCACAACCCCCTTTTTGGTGACCTGAGAAGCCATGTGGACGGGGAAGGCCAGATTTACTAGCTCAACCCCCCCCCCCGGGATTCGCTGAATGTCAAGAAAGGTCGTAAAATGAGGCAAAACTCCGTTGAACCACTTTGCAAAAGGGGAGTGCGTGACCCCTGGGCCATGGCGACCATCATAAACAGGAACCGGTTTGCCAAGCGTCCGAATTTTGATCGCGCGGCGGTGGGGGACGCTACAACCGCTGTGTGAACAGCTTTTATCAGATCCTTTTTTCCAGGGCCGTTGTAACTTTTTGAACGGCCGCTAAACGAGCCATTGTGAGTCGAGGACTACCTGTGCCGTAGTCCAGGACGCCCCACAAAAGACACCTGGAGGATGTTTGCCGAGACGTGGAGAAGGCTACAATTTCTCAGGTGTTTCTTCCCCCCCCCCTTTTTTTTTCTTGCTTCTCCCAGGCTGAGCATAAGATCCCCGAAGTGGCGTTTATCCACTGAGCGATGACCAAAAAAAATCCGATCGGAGCAGCGTTTTTATTGTTGAGATACACCTGGTTTTGTAAATAAAATTTCTCCGTTGTAAATTAAACAGTCGGGAACGCCGTGCCTCTTAAAACCTTTTGCCGCTGGGATGGAGGGAAGAACTGCGACTTTTCCCTGTCGGAGTTCTCAGCGCCGCCGGGAGTTGGAAGAGACGCTAAGAGAAGCAGACAGCCGAGAAGACAAAATCAGAAGCCAGAGAGAGAGAGAGAAGGAAAGAAAGAAAGAAAGAAAGAAAGAAAGAAAGAAAGACACCTTCCTTTCCTCCATCCTTTTTTTTTTCGGAAACACCATTTTTAGGAATTATTTTGGGCAAATTCTTCGCCTGACGCCTTTTTTCCCCCCTGTAGCAACCCTCTCAAAAGTCACGTATGCACTGAGACGGGTCAACAGTTGCAAACACGCGCAGCAAAGTTGACGGCTGTCGTGAGAACTCTTTAAAACTTTCAGACTGAGAAAGAGGGAGCTTCCCAAACACTTGACGGTGCTGTTACTTTATTGGTTTTTTTCCCCCCCAGTCGTTACGTTTCCTCATTCTTAGGTGCGGTCTCTCGGTCGTAGCGTAAGCGCCTGGTTCTACTTTGGGGTGTACCTGGTTGTTTTCCTCCAAGGAGGCCGTCCTGTCCAGCAAACTCTAGCTTCTATGTTTTCCTTCCAGTCCTTGGAAACACTCCGCCTAGTAAAGTTATTCTTAAAATCTTGGGACTTGGTGTGTGGTGTTCTCAGGCCTACGACGGACTTTCTTTTCCGTGAAGTTGGGGGAAATTCCTCAACCATCTCCTTCCCAAAAGAATTCTCCATCAAGACACTTATATACCGTGTAAATTACCCTGGTTTTTCCCTCCAGTAGGATAAATCCTGTCACGTGAAGTACGTCTCTTAGCAAAGATTTTTAATTTTTTATTTTTTTAAATTTAAAGGCTACCCTACTCTGGGTGGTTTCTGTTCCAACAAGCAAAAATAGCTGGGAACAAAATAAATAGACATTTGGGGGGAAATTGCAATGTGTAGAAAAAGAAAAAGCTGGCAAGCTCAGGATTATAAAGATGGGAGGCGGGGGGGGGGGGGAACAGTCCCAAAGATTTGTAAAAATTGCTTGCTGCACAAAGCATCCTGGACATTAAAGCCTAACCAGATAAGAATATGCTTTATTGGCCAAATATGATTGGACACACATAGAATTTGTCTCTGGTGGTTAAAGACTTGGTAACAACAAAATGGTAAGTCATAAATCATAAGATGCCAAATGTACAGGTATAGTATAGGGGGTACCTTGCTCAATAGTAGTAACTGTGAGGGATCTCGGAGTCCTTGTGGACAATCATTTAAATATGAGCCAGCAGTGTGCTGCAGCTGCCAAAAAAGCCAACACAGTGCTAGGCTGCATTAACAGGGATAGAATCAAGATCACGTGAAGTGTTAATATCAATTTACAATGCCTTGGTAAGGCCACACTTGGAATACTGCATCCAGTTTTGGTTACCACGATGTAAAAAAGATGTTTTTTAGAAAGAGTGCAGAGAAGAGCAACAAAGATGATTAGGGGACCGGAGGCTAAAACATAAGGAACGGTTGCTGGAATTGGGTATGTCTAGTTTAACAAAGAGAAGGACGAGGGGGGACATGATAGCAGTGTTCCAATATCTCAGGGGCTGCCACAAAGAAGAGGGAGTCAAGCTATTCAACAAGGCACCTGAAGGCAGGACAAGAAGCAACGGGTGGAAACTGATCAAGGAGAGAAGCAACCTAGAACTAAGGAGAAACTTCCTGACGGTTAGAACAATTAACCAGTGGAACAACCTGCCTCCAGAAGCGGCGAATGCGCCAACTCTGGAAGTTTTAAAGAAGAAACTGGACAGCCATTTGTCCGAAATGGTATAGGGTTTCCTGCCTGAGCAGGGGGTTGGACTAGATGACCTCCAAGGTCCCTTCCAATGTTATCATCATCATCATTATTATTATTAAGATGCAATGTAATTTTATGTGGATCTCATCATTTTCCAAACTGTCTCATTCATCATTTTCCAAAATGGTTCATTAACTGTAAATGAAACTGATTGCAATACTTTAATGCATAAAATGTTGGGTCAATTCATGCAAGGTAGGGGTCAATTCAGCCAACTTTGATTGAATAACATGAAGAAACCACGATCAAGCCAAGCACAACATTCAGGTTTGTAATCTGCCACGTGGGGAGACCCTAAACTTAAGAGCAGGTCTGAAAGGAAACCAACCCCCAAATCTTAGGATAAATGGGGAGATTTGCACTCCCCCCCCACCTTATTTACTCCTCAAACCAGCCATTGTCCTTTAAATGTAATCCGGAAGTCCAGAATGCTGGCAGCTTCCGAGAGCGCACGTGCGGACTCTAACTCCCAGAATTCCACTGCCGGCCTGGCCCCTGAGCATGCCGGGAGTGGTAGTCGCCAGGTCTGGAATTGCAAAGGAGGGAAGCCACCAAACCGAACCACCGGTATTAGTTACTCCCCGTTTAAACGGGGGCGGCGTTCGTTCCCCCCGGAGCTGCTGAATTCTGCATCTCCGCATGGAGGCTGGAGAGCCCCGGAAGAGGCAGCCCGGGGTGCAAACGACCCCTCGGCAACTCTAAACTTCCCACGACCTTGCAAGCCGGCCAGAAGAAGCGCGCTCCCTTCCTCCTTCCTTTCCTCTTTCCTTTCCTTCTTTCTTTCCTCCTCTCCTTTTCTTCTTTCCTTCCCTCCTCTCCTCCTTTCCTTTCCTGTCTTCTTACCTATCTTCTTTTCTTTCCTCCAATCTTCCTTTCCTTCTTTTATCTTCCTTTCCTTCCTAATTTTCCTTTCCTTTCCCTCCCTTTTCCCTTTCCTTTCTTCTTTCCTCCTCCGTTCTTTCCTTTCCTCCTTCCTTCCCACCTCACTTCTTTTCTACCGAGCTAACCTCTTTCCTTTCTCTCCCTTTCCTCCCTCCCTCTCTCCTTTCCTTCTATCTTCCTTTCCTTCATAGTTTATCTTCCTTTCCTTTCCCTCCCCTTTCATTTCCTCCCTTCTTTCCTTTCCTCCTTCCTTCTCACCCACTCTCTTTCCTACCCAATTACCCTCTTTCCTTCCTTTCTTCCTTCCCCCTTCTTTCCTTCGTCCCTCCCTCCTTTCCTTCTATCTTCCTTTCTTTCCTTCTTTCCTTTCCTCCTCCCTTTTCACCTACTCTTTCCTACCCAACTACCCTCTTTCCTTTCTCTCCCTCTTTCCTTCCTTTCTTCCTTTCCCCTTCCTTCCTCTCTCTCCCTCCCTCCCTCCTTCCTTTCCTTTCTATCTATCTTCCTTTCTTTCATAGTTTCCCTTCCTTTCCTTTCCTCCTTCCTTCTCCCCCACCCAACGACCCTCTTTCCTTCCTCTCCTTTTCTCTCCTTCCTTTCTTCCTTCCCCCTTCCTTCCTTCTTTCCTTCCTTCCGGCCAGGCGGCCCCGCGCTCGACTCCCCCGATCCGGCAGAGCCAGGGCGCTCCGCGATGCTGCTCCTGCCGCCGCCCCGTCGCGCGTGGGCCTCCCCGGGGGCGCGCGCGGGCCTCTCCCTCCTGCGCGGGCTCCTGCGAGGGGCTCCGCCGTTTGCAAGGCGCTTCTGCAGGCCGGCCGGCCGGCCCGCGCACGAGCCCTTCCCGCTGGACGGCTTCGTGAGCCGGGACGTGTTGCTCTTCCAGCACGAGCGACCGCGCTTCTTCCGCAACGTGGGGCTCTTTTGCATCGGCCAGTTCGCCTTCTGGCTCTACCTGGCCGACCTCGCCTTTACGACCCTGCGGGAAGCGCCGGCCGGCCCGGAGGAGACGGGCTCCGCGACCCCCGAGCGACCCCCGGCCCGGCCCTGGCTGGGCAACCTCTTCAACCTGACCTCGGGGAACTTCGGCTCCGCTAAGTGGCGCTACGGCTTCTCCGCCTCCTGCGTGGCCGTCGGTAAGAGAGGCAGGGCCGCCCTGGCCAGGGAGGAAGCGGGGGGGGGATTGCATGGGCGGGGAGAGTGGAAGTTGCCCCGGGAAAAAGGGGGCGCTTGGCTTCCCTGTTGCCTTTGCATATATGTTTGTGTATTTGTGTGTGTGTGAGTATACATGTACCTGTACATATACATATACACATACATATAAAATATGTATATATTAAATATATATATATTAAAAATGTGCTAAAATCAAAACGCGATGCTCAGCTCCAGGAGGAGTGTGTGTGTGTGTATGTGTGTGTGTATATAGATAGATAGATAGATAGATAGATAGATAGATAGATAGATAGATAGATAGATAGATAGATAGATAGATAAAGATAGATAGATAGATAGATAGATAGATAAAGATAGATGTTTTTCAAAATTTGGATTGCTAACAAAGAATTAAGGGAGAACTGGGTATTTCGAACTTTTTAGTTCTTTTCAACCAGACATACCCTTCTGAGATAATATATAGATATATAGATAGAGATAGATAGATAGATAGATAGATAGATAGATAGATAGATAGATAGATAGATAGATATAGATATAGATATAGATATAGATTAGATAGATAGATAGATAGATAGATAGATAGATAGATAGATAGATAGATAGATAGATAGATAGATAGATAGATATACACATACACACACGTGTGTTTTGTGTGTATTGTCCTTTGGGTGGAAGCAGCTCCCAGGAAAAAGCGTGTGCTTGTGTTTTTTTCCTGTTGCATTTGCAAAACTGCGCTAAGACCCAAATGCAACTGAATCAGAAGAACAAGACTTGGAAGGGATTTTGTAGGTCATCTAGTCCAACCCCCCCTTCCCGCAAATTGCTCATCCCCTGGGGGAAAAAATGGTGTCTGTGCATTCTGTGCGTGTTTTCATTTATAGGGTTTGGAGCAGCTCCGTGAAAAGTGGTGTCTTTTACAATGGAAGGCAAAGAGCGACCAAAATAATAATAATAATGGTGCCCTTTTATTTTCTTAAAGGCGGTTGCCCAAATGCACTAAGATCAAAGGTGATGCTCAGCCCCCAGGAAGTAACAGTGAACTGTTTGTGTGTGTGTGTGTGTGTGTGTGTGTATTGTATTTAGGGTTGAAAGATCCCCAGATCAAGTGCATGTTTTATTTTCCCGTTGCATTTGCAAAAATGCACTAAGATCAAAAAGCAACGATCAGCTCTTGGGGAAATTGTGTGCGTGTGTGTGTGTGTACTTTTGTTAGGGGGAGAGAGGCGCCTGTGTTGTGTTTTGTATTGCCACTGGGGTTGAATCCTCTCCAAGAAAACGAGTGCCTGTGTGTGTTTTATTTTCCTGTTTTGGGTAAAAGCAAAATTGCAAGGAGAGCTCGCTCCTGTAACATGCTCAAAACTCTCTTTTTTCCAGGATGAGACCCAGATCTCGCCTGCATTTTGGGGGGAATTTTGTTGGGAATGGACCTTTCTTAATTCACAGGTTATCCCGATGGAAGATTCACGGGGTGCCTTTCCACACCCCAGCAATTTGGCAAGTGAACCTGGGTCATGACGGTGTAGTGACTTAGCGCCCAGAAACCCAGTTTGATTTGGTGTTGGCCCCATTATGATGAGGCA